TGGCCTTGGGCTCACTTTGTAGCCCAGGCCAATTTGTAAACCTTTCTCCTCCCTCAGCCTCCTAAATGCTGGGGTTATAGGAGTGTACTCCCATGCCCAGCTTTTTTCTGTTTCTTTGAGACAGGGCCTACCTGTGTACCCCAGTCTGGCCTCTAACTCACAGCAATCCAGCAATTGTCCTGCCAGAGCCCTGAGTGCTGGCATTACAGGCCTGTGCTACCATGCCCTGCTGAGAACATTTTCTATTCACATGTCTTCCACCCACAGACTTAACACCTCTTCTGTCTTCACTAAACACTGATCATGCATTATAGCTGTAACTTTTGCAGTTTGAAGTGTGATGTAAACCTAGTGTGAATTCTTTTTCTTCTTCTTCTTCTTTTTTGCAGTACCTGGGATTGAACTCACAACCTCATACTTGCCAGGCAAGTGCTTATGCCACTGAGCTAAATCCCCAGCCCTGTTTCTTCTTAGCAGTTTCATAGAGCCGGGCATGAAACTTTCACCTTTTCATTTCAAGGGAGCACTTTATAATTTATTTCTGTTTGGCATATCCAAATTGCCATCATATAAAACATTTGCACTTTTGGGGCTGGGGATTTAGCTCAGCGGCATAAGCACCTGCCTTGCAAGCAGGCAGTCGTGAGTTCCATCCCCAGTACCGATAAAAAAAAAGGAAAAGGACAAAAAACAAACAAACAAAAAAAAGACGGCTCAGGGTTTAGCTCAGTGGCACAGCTACCTCCTTGGCAAGCACTAGATCATGAGTTTGATCCCTGGCACCAAAAAAATTAAACTAAACTAAATTAAATTAAAAAATAAAAATAAAGAAGTGCAATTTAAGGGCCAGGGATTTAGCTTAGTGGTTTAAGCACATGCCTGGCAAGTGTGAGGTCATGAGTTCAATCCCCAGTACATTAAAAAAAAAAAAAAAAAAAAAAAAAAAAAAAATTAAAGATCTTGGCTGAGCGGGCTGCGGATTTAGCTCAGCAGCGTAAGCGCCTGCCTTGCAAGCAAACAGTTGTGAGTTTGATCCCTGGTACCGATAAAAAAAAAAAAAAAAAAGATCGTGGCTGAGGATATAACTTATCAGCAGAGCACTTGCCTAGCATGCATGAGGCTCTGAATTCAATTCTTAGTAACACAAAATAAGAATAAGAATAATTAATAGTAGGTTTATTTTTGGAATTTTCCTTTTAATATTATCAGACTACAGTTGGCCACAAATAACTGAAATTTTGAAAAATAAATCGTGAAAGGGCCGGGGATTTAGTTCAGCAGCATATGCGCCTGCCTGGCAAGTGCAAGGTCATGAGTTTGATCCCCAGTACCAAAAAAAAAAAGTAAAGCCAGGGAGCCGGGCATGGTGGCACTCTCCTGTAATCCCAGCACTTAGGAGGCTGAGGCAGGAGGTTCTCCATGGGCTTGAGGCCAGCCTGGACTACATAGTGTGACCCTAACTCAAAACCAAAAAAAAGAACTGTGGATATAACTCAGCAGCCTGCCTGGCAAGCACAGGGTCATGAGTTCAATCCTTGGTAACAAGGGTGGGGGGCAGATTACAAAGACCTGATAGACTGTTATAGTAATTCATTGTGAGATGTTAAAACTGTACTTTATGATTTTTATGCAACACTTAGAATTGGAGCCCAGAAAGGCATTGTCTGATGTTTGAGATTTCTTTTAGAACATCTGGGTTTCTTTTCCCTGAATCGAGAGGATGTGGGTTTGGAAGGAGGGCAGGGCCCAGAGCCTCATCAGTAAAATATGTGAGGTCCCTGTTTAGGCTGAAAGTCTGATTTCAGGGTATTGTCAGGGAGAGAGTTAACAGTCTACTTTCTCCCTACCTCAAAACCTCATCTATCTTCTTTTAAAAAAAAAAAATCATCTGTCTTCATGATATTTAGAAACAAAATGTCTAAACTTAATATCCTATGTTCTTTCAACAGGACATGGTGGTACATGCCTGCAATCCCAGCATTCTTGGAGGCTGAGGCAGGAGAATTGCATGTTTGAGCCCAGCTCAGCAATTTTAGTAGCTTAGCAAGACTCTTTTCTCAAAATAAAAAATATTAAGAAGCTGGGAATGTAACTATAGTGCAAAAATGTAGGGTTCAATCTCCAGTACTATCAGTCCAAAACAAAAGCCATATGTGGTGCTACATGCCTGTGATTCTAGCACTAGGGAGGCTGAGGCAGGAGGATCATTGTGAGTTCAAGGTCAGCCTGCAATACATAGTGAAACTCTGTCTCAAAAAATCAAACCAAACCACACCACAACAAATCCCTTGACCTTTCTAGGAATTTCTCCTGGAAGGAATAATCAGATGTGGGAAGATAATGGTATATAGAAATATTTACTGCTGGGGCTGGGGATTTAGCTCAGCGGCATAAGCGCCTGTCTTGCAAGCAGGCAGTCGTGAGTTCGATCCCTGGTACCGAAAAAGACAAAAAAAGGAAAGAAATATTTATTGCTACATTCTTTTTTTTAACTTTTTATCGGTACCAAGGATTGAATTCAGGACCGCCTGCTTGCAAGGCAGGTGCTTATGCCGCTGAGCTAAATCTCCAGCCCCGCTACATTCTTTTAATAAGATTGAAAAACTGGAATAAATTTTTTAAAAACTGGAATAAAAGGGGCTGGGGATTTAGCTCAGCGACATAAGCGCCTGCCTTGCAAGCAGGCGATCGTGAGTTGATCCCGGTACCGATAAAAATGAAAAAGACAAAAAAAAAAAAAAAAAAAAAAAAAACTGGAATAAAAACAACAAGCATTTGTTGAGCACTTTCCATGGTCCTCAGAATCATTGTCTGCATAATGAGCTCCATTTAGAAACACAAAAAGAGGCACAGAAAGGTTAATAATTTGCCCAAGACAACATAATTCATACAGGGAGGGGAGGGAGACAAGATATGTAAAAGACAGGAATAAAACAATGTGACAGGGGCTGGGGATTTAGCTCAGCGGCATAAGCGCCTGCCTTGCAAGCAGGCAGTGGTGAGTTCGATCCCTGGTACTGATAAAAACGAAAAAGACAAAAAAAAAAAAAAAAAAAAAAAACAATGTGACAAACATTAAAATAGAAATAATGGTTTGTGGGGCTTGAAATTTAGCTCAGTGGCATAAGTACCTACCTGGTGAGCATGAGGTCATGAGTTTGATCCCTGGTACCAAAAATAAAAATAAAAAAAGAAAAAGAAAGAATGGTTCTGGGAATTTCGTGGCCCCAAAAAAGAAAGAAAGAAAAGAGAGAGAGAGAGAGAGAAAGAAAGAAAGAAAGAAAGAAAGAAAGAAAGAGAATATGATCAAGAACAAGAAGACAATGCAAAATATTATGGTTGTTAAACAGTGTATATTGACGTGCTTAAAGTAAAACCCTGCACATGGTATGCTTAAAGCATAGTTGTTATATTTGCATCTCCAACTTTAATGTGCCCATGAATTGCCTAGGGATTTTACTAAATGCAGATCTGGGGGCTAAGGGTATATATAGGTCAGTGCTAGAGGGATTATCCAGTGTGCAGGAGCCTGTGGGTTTGATCCCCGGTACTTCAGGAAGAAAAGTGAAGATCTTGAATAGTAGGCCTGAAATTCTGCATTTCTCATCAGCTCTCTCCTAGGTGATGTTGTGCTGATAGCCAAGGATCTGCATGAGAACTAAGTAGTTGGGGAAATGGGGAAGTCCTGAATGTGCAAGAACGAGTCACAGAAAGCCCAGTGACCTGTGTTGTAGAAAACATCTGATAGAAAAAAAGAAGTGGTGTGTGAACTCCAGTACCATGAAGGGAGAAGGACTGGCAGACACTACAGTTAGCTGTTACTATTCTGTTAGGTGTCAATTTCAAGTGAATTCCTTTCTTTTTCTTCATTTTTTATCAGGTGGGTTGTTCAATTCTGATATTTATTGAGTACCAGGCACTAGTCAAAGTGCAATTCCTGGGAATTTGCTGGACTGCATCTTGGTCTTTTTATTCAGAGACTGAGGACAGAACCCAGTAATGGTATACTGAGGCCATCCAGGTGACTACTCCAATGACTCTAAGACCTACAGCTCTCCTCTGATGTAAGCTTCTGGACCAGCAAGCTGGCCTGCTTGGATCCCTTCCCTCTGCCCTGTGGCCTGACATCAGGGCAGGGTACACCAGGTACTTGCTACAGATTAGGGGTGTGGTCCATGCGCAAACATTACCCTTGCATACGTGAAACTCTAGGCTCAATCTTTAGCACAGTCAAAAAGTAAACTAAAAATATAAATTAAAATGTAAAAATGGGTCAGGGACTTAGCTCAGTGGCATAAGCATCTGCCTGGCAAGTGCAAAGTCATGGGTTCGATCCCCTGTACAAAAAAAATTTTTTTAAGTATATAGAGGCCAGTGGCCAGGGATTTAGCTCAGCCGCATAAGTGCCTGCCTGGCAAGCATGAGGTTGTGAATTCAATCCCAGCTACCAAAAAAAAAAAGGCCAGTGATATAGCTCAGCAGCACAGTGTATGCCTGGCAAGTGTGAAGTCACGAGTTCGATTCCTGATACCAAAAAAATTAAAGTATATAAAGAAAAAGTTAATGAACGTGTAATAACAATAGCGATGGGAGAGCCAGGCGTGGTGGCGCATGTCTGTAATCCCAGCACTCGGGAAGTTGAGGCAGGAGAATCCTTGCAAATTCAAGACCAGCATGGACTACAAAGTGAGCTCAAGGCCAAGCTGAACTGCATAGCAAGACTTTGTCTCAAAGAAAAAAAAAAAAAAAGAAGAAGAAGAAGAGGAGGAGGAAGAGGAAGAGGAAGAGGAGGACAGGGAAGGGAAAGGAGAAGAAAAGGAAAGAAAAATAAGATGATCCTGATAGCATCCAGTCACTGACTGCAGACCTGTGGACCAGGTCCTGCTCTAAACGTGCCATAACCCTAACCCTAACCCGCAGAACTGGGAGGGAACCCCGCGCGTGTCCGCCACACGGCGCACCCCAGGCTCGCGCATCGCGGCGGCGGCGGCGGCGGCGGCCGCCGTGGCGAAAGTGCGGCTGCGAAAGCGCGGCGAGGCCGGCGGGGCAGGAAGCTGGGACTGCGGCCGCGGGCCTGCGGGGCGCCATGGGCCGTCTGCACTGCACGCAGGACCCGGTGCCCGAGGCCGTGGCCGGTGACATGCAGCAGCTGAACCAGCTGGGCGCGCAGGTGGGCCGGGGTGCGGGGTCCCGGTGGCCGCGGGGTGGGACTGGAGCCGGGTGCATTTGGAGAGCGAGAGCTGGGCCGGGGAGGGGCTGGGGCCTGTGGGCTGTCAGGGTGGTTTTCGGACCCAGAGATGGGACTAGGGGGACTTCTGGGGAATCCTGGGCCGAGGGACTGAGCGGGGACCGTGGTGAGGCTGAGGTGTGTGGAACAAAGTAACGGGGTGGGGCTGAGGGAGTTTGGGGGAGCAGTGGAGTCCAGACACAGGTCTGTGACTATAACCAAGGAGACCCCTGGCAGGCTGCAGGAAATCTAGAGAGCTGATGAGTGTCAGTGACTGCCGGCCCCAGTGGGGCTCTGGGCCACCCTGAAAGGGTTGGGGCATGCCTGGGACCACCCCCTCCTCAAGTTGTCAGTGCCTGGATAGACCCCAGGCAGAAGTCACAGGCACTGTGGAGGACCTGGCCTCGGTGGGAGAGCTGGCAAAGGTTCCTTCTCCCTCCCGCTGCCCCCTTGGCCTTTTTAAGATAGGGTCTCACTCTGCTGTTTAGGCTGGTCCTGAGCTCACTTTGTAGCCCAAGGTGACCTGGAACTCACAGCAGTCCTGCCTCGGTCTCCCAAGTGCTGTGATTACACCGTGCCTGGATCTTCTCCCTGTTTAATTTTTTTTAATTAAAATAAAATTTTGCCTTTTCCCTATCAAAACTGGAGGTGCTGCCCAAATCAAGATACCCTGATGGGATTCCCGCCCCAGGCAACATCTTCCTATGTAGTTCAGGCTGGTCTTTTTTTTTTTTTTAGTTCAGGCTGGTCTTAAACTATGTACTAGTTTGGCTTTGAACTTGCATCAGTCCTCCTGCCTCAGGCTCTTAAGTGAGTGCTGGGATTACCAGTGTGTGCCACCAAAACTCATCTAAAGATACATCTTGTGTCCACATCTTGGGTTATAACTTGCCAGGAGGTGGGGCCCCTGTCTTTGTCTTAGTATCCCCTACAACTCTTCACATATGTAGTCATAGCCTGGATGATGAATAAAAATTAGATTTTTTTCATAATGTAATGGTAACCAGGATTATAATCCTAAACCTGATCTAAGCCAGTATTGTCCAATGAAAATAAGTGTAACCTGAACAGTGTCAGAGGCTGAGGCAGGAGTCTCAAAAGTTCATGGCCAGCTTGGGCAAGTTACTGAGGCCCTGTCTCAAAATAAAAAAAAGTAAAAAGAGATGCTTGGGGATGTAGCTCAGTGCTCCATGGGTTCAATCTCCAGTACTAAATAAAACTAAACTAAAAAAAAATTACAAAACGGGAATTGTAGTGCAGTGGTAGAATTCTTGCCTGTCATAAAATTTATAAGGTCCCATTCAATCCCCAACATCACATAAATATAGTAATTAAGTAAATAGAAAACCAAAGGAAATTTAGTTGGTTCATTTATTTATGTATTTATTTTTAGACAGAATATTGCTGTGTAGTTCAGGATGGCTTTGAATTTGGTGTGATCCTCCTACCTCAGCGTCTCCAGTGCTGGGATTACAGGCATGTGCCACCACGCCCAGTTTCTAAGTCTTTTCACATATTCAGCACTTCTCAAATCAGACTATCAGTTTTTGGGGATCAAACCTTGCATTTGCCAGACAGGTGCTTACACCTCTGAGCTAAATCCCTGGCCAAGGCTATCTCTTTTTGAGTATTCATGTGAGTAGTGGACAATGGATTGGTCAGCACAGGGTGTTCTGTCTTTGTCTATATTAACTTATTGAGTCCTTGTAATCACTTTACTAGGTAGGCACTTATAATAATTTTCATTCTACACATGAGAAAGTTAATCAAAGAGTTCTTAAAAATAACTGTTATGGGGCCTGGGGTTTGCGTGCTTGGCAAGTATGAGGTAGAAGTTCCATCCCCTGGACAAAAAAAAAAGCTGCTATGGGCCATAGCTTTGCGATAGAGCTCTTCCTAGCATGCACCAAGCCCTACATTGGATTCCTAGCACTGCATAAGAAAAGAGAAAAAAGGGCTGGGGATCTAGCTCAACAGTTCAAACCCTTACCTGATATGTGTGAGGCCATGAGTTTGATCCCTAATACCAAAAAAAAAAACCAAACCCCCCCCAAAAAAAACGGGAGAGAAAAAGCTGTTATGAATTGAGCTTGTGCCAGGGACTATTTTAAGTGCTTTGTGTGTAACAATCTTAAAAGGTAAGTGCTGTTACTATTCCCATTTTACAGAAAAGAAAAACAGTTAAAAGAAACAAATGAACCTGCTTAGAACCAAGTAGCCAGGAAGTGATAGAGCCAGGAATTCAGGACCGGATGTCTGACTTCAAAGTCTTGGTCGATAGTTTAGCTTTTACTGGGCATCACTGTTCTCTGGAAGACTTCTGTTTATAGAACAAAAGTAATTCTGCTACTAAACACCTTTAAATTACTACTATTTTTGTGCAGGAGGTTGAGACGATGGGCTTTTTTTTTTTTTTTTTTTTGAGACAGGGTCTTGCTAAGTTGCTGAGGCTGGGCTTGAATTTGCCATCCTCCTGCCTCAGCCCCTCAGTGCTGAAATTCCAAGCATCTGCTACCACTGCCAGCAAAACTAAAAAAGACTTTTAAGTTACTAGATTGTGTGATCCTTGAGGTAGCTCAGTTTTTTTTAAGACCAGAGCTTGACTCAATATGGAACCACTCTTAATCTTTACCTTTGTTTTTAATACAGAAAATATTCTCCTAAAGAAAAGAAAGAAAAGATAAATAATTTTCCTGTTAACTAGTTTACCAGAGTTATTTGGACCATTTTCCCTCCATTTTAGTGGATGATCCGACTTTTGCGAATACCCACATTTACTAACTGGATTTAAGTCTGAAGTACAGACACAGAGGAGCAAAAGGCACCGTCCATTAATGTTGGTGCTATCACATATTGGTCAGAGCCGCTAAACCCAGTGAAATGTAGAAAATATTTCATGGCCGTGACCTCTTGTGGAAGTTGTGCTCTGCTGTGGCAGAAAAAAAAAGTGAAGCCAGGCATGGAAGTTGAGGCAGGAAGATACTGAATCTGAGCTCCATAGTGAGACCCTAACTAAAAGAGAAGTTAAGGAGGCCTTCAGTACTTAAATTATATATAAAATTAAAGAGACCCTTAGCTCAGCGGCGTAAGCACCTGCCTTGCAAGCAGGCAGTCGTGAGTTCAATCCCCGGTACCAATAAAATAAAAATAAAATTTAAAAAAAAAGAGGCCCTCGGGAGTACTAAATTGTATGTGACCATTCACAGATATAAATTCCCTATGATGATGTTATGAGTTTTGTATATCTAAGGTGTACCAAAAAAAGAAAGAGTACCAATAAAATAAAAAGAAAATAAATAAAAAAATTTGTATGTGGAACCTTGAGAAAGAGAAAATTTTGGTTGGTTGGTTTTGGTTTTTCTTTGTTTTGAGTCAGGATTTCCCTGTGTAGCTCAGGGTATCCTTGAACTGACTGTGTAGCCCAGGCTGATCTTGAACTCCTGGCAGTCCTCCTGCCTCAGCCTCCTGAGCGCTGGGATTACAGTTGTATGGCACACTTGGCCTCAAACTCACTATATAATCTAGACTGGGCCCAATGTTAGGACAATTTTCCAGCCTCAGCTTTCTCACTCCTGGGATTACAGGACTGTGCCATCATGCCTAGCTTCTTGTTTATCTTTTAGAAATACACCGGTCTCAATCTACCAATATGAGTTCCGTTTTCTTTTATGGAGATGCAGCTCAGTGATAGGGCACATGCTTAAGTATGCACATAGGCATGGGTTCAAGCCCTAGGACCCCAGAAATAATTTACTTCTTTTATCAAAAAAAATTAGTGTGTGCACGTGTATTTGTGTGTGGGAGGCAGGATCTCACTTTGTTGCCTAGACTTTCCTCAAACTGCTGTACCCAAAGGATCCTTGTTTCTCAGCCTCCCTCCCCAGCGCTAGGACTACAGGAAACCATCATGCCCAGCTCAATTCTTTTTTTTTTTTTTTTTTTTTTTTTTTTGTGCTGGTAATCAAACTCAGGACCTTCTGCTTGTCAGGCAGGCACTGAGGCCAGCGAACTATATCCCCGGCCCCAATTCTTTTTTGATAGATGTATGCACACTATTCCTTGAAATAGATCTCCTTTAATATTTATTTATGTACTGGTGCTAGGGATTGAACTCAGGGCCTGGTACTTGCTGAGTGCATCCTCTACGTGAGCCATATCCCCATCCCTTCTGTCATAATTTCTTTAATCAACCTTTTCATAGACACTTCCGCTGCTTTCCAGGAGTGGCTTTGTGTGTGTCTGGAGCATATCTGAAGGGGAATTAGCAGGTCAAGCGACGTGGCCATTTCAACAGTAGGTACCACCTACACAAGTGCCCACCAGCTAACCAGGTGCCCCAGTGTGCCAGTGTCCCTACCCTTGCAGGACTGGCCTGCTCCCCTTCCTCTACCAGAGCTGGAACTTTCCCCTTTGCAGATCTGGGGGTGGAGATACTACCTCCTTGTTTGGCTGATTTGCGTCTCTGATCTGGAATGACCTTGGGTATCTCTTCATAGGGTTACTGACCAAAATAGTTACAATTTAAATTTGACAGGTGAGTGTTTCAGGGAGAGGCAGCTAAGCTGAGAGAGAGTTATCAACAAATGCTGCTCTGCACTTAAGGTATTTAAGATACCACAAAACTCTACAGTGAATTTTCTCTATTAAGTTTGTATTGTTTATCAAGGTTAAAGTTTCCAGGTGCCCCAGCCAAGGTTTCAGGAGGAGTCTCAGAAGTTGAGAATCCAGCTGCATAGTTCTCTCCCTTTCTTTCTCCTTCTCCTTCCCTTTTCTCCTCTTTTGCTTCTATTTAGCCTCCCTTGTTCCTCTTCTTTCTCTCCCCTTCCAGAGTCATTCTGGGACATGCTAGGCAAGAATTTTCAATTTTTTTTTTCTTTTATTGGTACCGGGGATCGAACTGACAACTGCCTGCTTGCAAGGCAGGCGCTTATGCCGCTGAGCTA